GGTGCCTATATTGGATTTTGACACGCCAACTCAATTTTTTATAGTGAACTTTTTTACAACTAGATGTAAAATAGACAATGTACAATAGATGCAGCCACACACCAAAATGGAAGTCGGTACCTCGCTTGTTTTTCAAGTTATCCAGCTCACAAGACGGGCAGACATATTTGTTGGGAACCATATTGGATTTTGACATGGCAACCCATTTTTCAATAGGAATTAGAGCTGTCATTTCTAACCCAAACATGGAGCCCGGCTCCGCCCGACCTGGATTCGGACTGGGCCATAATAATGTACAGGTCAGGTCAGTGTCGGGCTTTTTATTGCGCCAGGGACGCGCGCGGCCGACGATCCAATTATATGCCAACATGGCTTGCCATAAAAATCGCCAGCCGCACATGGCCATTTGACCGCGCACTGACTGGCCAGTTGAAAGAGGTAAAAAGTTCAGTTAAGCTTCAGATGAACTACTGCCAGCGATCCATACCCAAATAGGTGTTCATTCAGTTGCTGCATTCAGCGGAAGCGAGCAGCCGAGATCCAAACAGGTGAGATCACAAAATATCCGACATGTCAGAGCAGATGCAGGCAGAAGCAGGGGAAGCATTTAATGCGCTTTGATGGCTCCTCAGCTCTGATTTTCTGCCCCCTTTACTTAGCCGCACGCGTCCGCCAACCGTTAATTCGTCGGATCGGGTGGGGTTCGGAGATGATGGCTGCAGGCTGGGGCCGGATTTTTTTGGACCTGAGTGCAATTTTAATAGGAATCTTCCTTACACCTAGATGCAGCTGCACACCAAAACAGAAGTAGGTACCTCACTTGTTTTTCAAGTTTTTGCGCTCACAACATGCATGAACGAATGGAGGGTATTTCCATTCCTCTCTTCGCTCCGCAACGTGGACAGTAATGAAAGTTAGAGGTGTATAAACATTTCTCTATTTATAGCTGGTATAAAATACAAAAAATTGTCTGAAATAACAAAACTACAAGGCACAACTTTGCACCAGATTATAAAGAATGTAATCATGAACTTATTTACAACTCAAAACAACATGAAATAACGAGTACAGGAGCCTAAATGTACCTGGTAAAGAGGAGTTGTCAGGAAAGTAGTACTCAGTGAACTGCAGGTGAACTGCTGGAACGTTATCAGGTAAATTCAGAGCGCTGCGGTTACAGGATATTAAAGAATGAGTCTTCTTGTTCTGGCGGCCTCTTGCAGACACCTGAGTGTGTGAAAATTGGGACAGTGATGCAAATATCATTAAAATAGGATTTATTTTATCGCTGATCTCTTTCTGAGGGGAGATGGTGACAAATCCCTCAATTAATGAATAAGAGTAGAAAACAGAACTGAGCTACCTGAGCGTGAACGTAAACGAGTTCCTGTTAGAAACTGAAGGTGGGAATCAAGCAGTTTCCCTCATGTATCTTCTGCTTTATCAAATGGGGAACTAAAAGTATCTTACACCTAAAGTTTCCTTTAAATGTGATGTAGTTTCATTACAAATGTTTTGAAACATCCTGAGCAGAAATGCTAAACCAGTCTAACAGTTATTTCATGGGGCAGTTGGGGGGGGTTTCCCCACCAGAGACAAATGACAGGTGCCACAGCATCACCAGTATTTTTAACGTCAAGAATAATTTTTTATCACTAAAAAAATGCATTTTATCAACATATTTATGATACTTTTACTAAAGTATTGGAAACAATTGCCATGCTGTGATTTCAAAACTAAAAACAAATAGTCAGGTCATCTGGACGGTTTATTTATTTTTTTGTTGAGACGTTTCGTCCTCCATCCAAAAAGGACTTCATCAGTCCGAAGAGCCACAACAAACTGAGTCCCACAAGCAGCACACTCACATAGTGGGTCAACCAGTTTGCTGGTAGTAACATGGTTTCTGGGGCTTGCCCTCTCCCCTGTCAACTCCTCTAAGGCAGCCACTATGTGAGTGTGCTGCTTGTGGGACTGAGTTTGTTGTGGCTCCTCGGACTGATGAAGTCCTTTGGATGAAAGGCGAAACGTCTCAACAACAAAAAAAGAAACCGTCCAGATGACCTGACAGAACACTGTTGGATTTTTTACCTGGATTATTGAGCATGAACTTTGATATAAAACAGAAATATTTCATACAAAGTTCCAACAGAAGGGTAACTTAATGCTCAACATTTACTCATGACCACATTTTATCAGCGCTTGACCAAGAAAAGCAGACGTCTGATTTAAAGGAGGCTTGTCTCCTTGTGTGACTCCCGTCAGGCTGCTGCCTGACCAGGCTTTCATTTTACAGACTACACACTGCAGCTGGGTGGTAAATTCTAAAGATAATAATAAGCGTGATTTCCTCTTTCTATTAAAAAACAAACCAAAAAAAAGCAGTTTTGTCACTTGTCTACACTGAAATGAAAGTACGTTGAGTATGTTATAAAGTCTGCTCAAAAACTATATGCTACATTAAAAAAGAAGCTGGTGACCACACCAAGGTAGATTTTATTTCCTGTAATATTTATGTTTTAGCCAGAGGCTTTTTCTACATTACCACTCTTTATTGTTTGACTCGTAACAGTGACTGTAAATACAAAAACAGCCCAAACCTTTTGGACCACTAGATGTAACTACAGTGAACGTCTCATGTCAAAGAAGCTGCCTAGACGTTTCCACAGAGAAAAACATTTCTTCCCTGATTTAAGCTTCTTTTTTTGGAGCTGGAAAATAAAATCAGATTGTGATGAAAGCTTGCCTGGCGAATGTCCACATCATCCATCCTGATCACCACGCAGCTCGACCGCAGCCTCTTCAGACATGAACTTAGAGCTGTGGCTGAGCTCTGCCTGCTCGCCTGCTCTTTGTCACACGAGTTTGACTTCGGGCTGGACTGTCCATCTGAAGTACAACAAACAGTAAACACTCAGTTGCAAACAATAAGCATGACAAGACCAGATATTTGAAACATGTAAGAGCCTTTTTTGACATATGGATACAACAACAGTTATGAGATAGTCCCAGCTGCAGGCCAGCTGGCTTTGTTTGTCCAGAAGCTTTCAATAAAGAAAGTGAAGAGATAATTTTCTAACCTGCCATGGAGAAGGAATGGATAAAGGTAAAAAGCTGCTAAGAGCTCCTCTATTACCGAGTTTAACAAGACAAATGTGATGTGATTAGCTGAAATACTAGTGCCATTCTTTACTCAAAGCAACTTTATTTTTGTTAGGATATAATAGTAATAATAAATAATAAGAATAATTCTACAGCCATACTCTGGGTTGTCTTTGCAGGAGATTCCTTGGCTGGCTGGGCCACCTCAGCATGTGGCTGAGGAAACCCACAGGCCTCAGCTCGTCTCTGGTACTCCTGAAGAAGTTTCCCAGCCCACTGGGCCTGCGCCTCCATGGCCGCACTGTGGCGTTCCCAGTGCCGACACCCATCAGCTGAGCGAGAACAGAAACCAGACATTGATTCAGTCATCCTGCTACACTCACTTTATTAATAGAAACTGATATTTTAAATGGCTTGTAAATATTCATCCTTAATGAGATGAAATAATAAAAAACAGGGTAGTATAATACAAACCAGATTCCAAAAAAGTTGGGACACTAAACAAATTGTGAATAAAAACTGAATGCAATGATGTGGAGGTGCCAACATCTAATATTTTATTCAGAATAGAACACAAATCACAGATCAAAAGTTTAAACAGAGAATGTATCATTTTAAGGGAAAAATCTGTTGTTTCCAAATTTCATGGTGTCAAGAAATCCCAAAAAATGTTGGGACAGGTCCATTTTTACCACTGTTTGGCATCCCCCCTTCTTCTTACAACACTCAACAGACATCTGGGGACAGAGGAGACCAGTTTCTCAAGTTTAGAAATAGGAATGCTCTCCCATTCATGTCTAATACAGGCCTCTAACTGTTCAATCGTCTTGGGCCTTCTTTGTCGCACCTTCCTCTTTATGATGCGCCAAATGTTCTCTATAGGTGAAAGATCTGGACTGCAGGCTGTCCATTTCAGTACCCGGATCCTTCTCCTACGTAGCCATGATGTTGTGATTGCTGCAGAATGTGGTCTGGCATTATCGTGTTGAAAAATGCAGGGTCTTCCCTGAAAGAGATGACGTCTAGATGGGAGCATATGTTGTTCTAGAACCTGAACATAGTTCTCTGCATTAATGGTGCCTTTCCAGACATGCAAGCTGCCCATGCCACAAGCGCTCATGCAACTCCATACCATCAGTGATGCAGGCTTCTGAATGGAGCGTTGATAACAACTTGGGCTATCCTTGTCCTCTCTGGTCTGGATGACATGGCGTCCCAGTGTTCCATAAAGAACTTCAAATCGTGACTCATCTGACCACAGAACAGTCTTCCATTTTACCACACTCCATTTTAAATGACCCCTGGCCCAGTGCAAACGTCTGAGCTTGTGGAGCTTGCTTAGAAATGGCTTCCTCTTTGCACTGTAGAGTTTCAGCTGGCAACGACGGATGGCACGGTGGATTGTGTTCACTGACAATGCTTTCTGGAAGTATTCCTGAGCCCATTCTGTTATTTCCTTGACAGTGGCATTCCTGTTTGAGGTGCAGTGACGTTTAAGGGCCCGGAGATCACGAGCATCCAGTAGAGTTTTACGGCCTTGACCCTTACGCACAGCGATTGTTCCAGATTCTCTGAATCTTTTGATGATGTTATGCACGGTTGATGATGATAACTTAAAAGTCTTTGCTATTTTATGCTGGGTAACACCATTCTGGTATTGCTGCACTATCTTTCTGCGCAACAATGGTGGAATTGGTGATCCTCTTACCATCTTGGCTTCTGAGAGACACTGACACTCTGAGAAGCTCTTTTTATACCCAATCATGTTGTCAATTGACCTAATTAGTGTTAATTGGTCTTCCAGCTGTTCGTTATATGATCAGTTTCCTTTTTCCAGCCACTTATTGCCACTTGTCCCAACTTTTTTGGGATTTGTTGACACTGTGAAATTTTGAATCAACATATTTTTCCTTTAAAATGTTACATTTACTCAGATTAAACTTTTGATCTGTCATCTATGTTATATTATGAATAAAATATTGACATTTGCCATCTCCACATCATTGCATTCAGTTTTTATTCACAATTTGTTTAGTGTCCCAACTTTTTTGGAATCCGGTTTGTACCAGTACAGTACAGAAACGATACAACGTAGCCTAAAGATTTAATAAATAGAAATTTTGGGTCAGGTCTGTATAAAGTTACAATAATATTGATCTTTAAACAGTTCACAAGTTTATGAAATCACTTCTTTAGTATTCTGGCATTATTTTATTTAAATAAGTTAGTTTCTGTTCATCTGAGGAGAAGTTGTAGGAACTAAGGAGGAGACTTTTTAATGTACAAATAAAAAGAGATTGTACTTACGGTACTTTTTGCCATGACCATAACTATTTTAACTGTAGTATGAATGCTTCATGTACTGTGATCCATTTTTCTTCCGTACGTTTTTCAGTGTGATTCTCAACCCACAGTTTTTAAGCTTTTCAACAAATCATAAATCAAAACGTTCAGTTCTTTCAGGACAATCCTGCTGTGACTTTTGTTATTGGTGCAACTTTAGCTTTTTGAACTTGTTAGCCTTTTCTGCCATTTTTTCTTTCATAGAAAATGAATTGAGCTCATTTTACATCCTTCAGTCTTTAGACTTGTTTTCAACCTTTTACTGCTCCTTTTGTTCTGCTTTGGCTTCTTTCAGCTTCCTTGTGCAAATTTAAACATTTTTAGCTACTTTCAGCAGTTTTTTCAGGTGTTTTGCGCTCCTTTCAGATTCTTTCTGCTAACTACAACATTTTTGTGCTTTTTCTAACTTCTTTCTGCCAATTTTAGCTTGTTGTGCTCCTTTCAGCTTATTTATGCAAGTTTCAGCTTTTTCTGCTATTTCAGCTACTTTATAGCTATTTTATGCAAATTTAAGCTTTTTCAGTTACCAGTAATTCCACATCTGCTATTTTTGCTACTTTCAGCTGTTTTTCTTTTTACTAATTTAAGCTTTTTTTTTTTTTAGCTATTTTCTACGTTTTGTGCTAATTTTTGCTTCTTTCAGTCTAACTGGGCAAACATGCAATCTTTCTGTTTTCTTATCCTAATTTAAGCTTGTTCTACCTTTTCAGTTACCTTTTTAGATTTATTTTTTAATTTCAGCTGTTTTCTGATAAATTCAAGCTTTTCTTGGTAATTCCTGTTACTTTCAGCCTAATTAACTTCTTTCTGATAATTTTAGCTTGTTATGCTCCTTTCAGCTTTTTCTGCTATTTCAGCTACTATTTAGCTGTTTTACGCATATTTTAGCTTTTTCAGCTAATTCCACATTTTTTTAGCTCATTTCAGCTCTTTCCACTTCCTTCTCATAGGTTAAGCTTCTTTCCGTCTTTTCAGCTGCTTTTTAGATTTTTTTTTTGTGTGTGCAAATCTTAGCTGATTTCCTAATCTTTGTGCTCATTTCTGCATTTTTACCAATAAACATAATCCAGCAAATACCAGTATGTCTTCTTTATGCTTTCTTCTGCTAATGTAGTCTTGTTCTTTCATTTCAGCTACATTTTAGCGTGTTTTTATTTAGCTAATTTCAGCTGTTTTTCAGCAAGTTCTTCTGCACCAAGTATTCACACTGCATTTTTGCAGGAAATGTAGTTTCTTTAGTTGAATGAAAGCGATTCATCAGGTGAGAGAACCACAGGATTTAAGTCTCTCCCGTGCCATTAGTCTGTTTGAAGTGTGATCCTCCAAACCAACAGTTGTGGCTCCAGAGGGTGGAGCACACACACAGCCTCAGGCTAAATTTGCAGCTTAAACACACTCAGAAACGGATAAACTCACCAGGTCTGTGGATGGGATAGTAGTCAAAGCCCAGCTTCCTGAAAGTCAGCTGCATGGCGCACTGCAGGCCCGGTAGGGGAGGCTCGTCTGTGCAGAATCACATGAATGCTGTTTGAAACCAGCTCGATAGCAATTATCCTTTAAATACTGAACATTTTGTTGCGTTTCAGGGAATGCTGGAAGAACACAACCTAAGCTTTGCGTTGAAGTGAAACAGCACAAACGTACTCGAGTAACCAAACCGTAGCAGCTGGTAACCATCAACACATTTGTTTCCATCTAACCTTCATCCATTGAAGAACTGTCGTTGCATATGTGTAAGTCCAAGCGTGATATGAAGGCGTGGCAGGAAGACTCCTTGATATCGTACAGGTCAAAGTATTGACTTGTGTTGTTGGGGGTGCTCGTGGACGAACGCGGAGGTTCAGTCCACTGGTTATGAATGCTGGGAGATGGAGGAGCGGTCTAAACCCACACATAAGACATGCATAAAATATATACAGCTGTGAAATACAAAAAACAAGCTTAAACCGTTAAATATACAGGCAAAATTTGTATCCAGGGGTACTTTTGTATTAACAACCGAATAAAAATGTTTGCATCTGCCTAATTATTGATGAGCACCTTTGCGTTTAGGAAACAATTTTACTCAAAGCTTTACTACCATTTCTATACACTTTTCTAACATAGCATAAATATTGTGACATTAAAACATTCCAGCATACAATTTACAATTGTATTTAGGGACATTTTTACTCAAAAATTTTAATTTTAGTACCATATTTATTGTATTTTTCCAAAGTGAAATTTTAACATGAAATAGTGAGTATGAAAGAAGTAGAACCTGCAAAGACTCAGCCGTCATGCTCTTTCTTTGCTGTGCAGACTTCTCCATGGCTTCGCTGAGAGATTTGGCATAATGAATGATGGCTTTGAGCTGAGAGTCTGTCAGCACCCACAACAGGTCGTCCAGAATAAAAAGCAGCTTGGACGCCAACACGTTACAGTCCTTTACCTAAATAAAGCGGGACAAATCGCAGCTGGTATCACAGGTGCCCTCTTTACCTGGGCGTGTGATAAATAAAGAGCAGTCCAAATTTAGCCTTACTCTCCGTTTCAGAGCGATGCGGATGCGTCCCTGGTTGGTGATGAGACGTAACGGCGTGCTGCTGAGGTCCTGGTCATCGCTCTCTATGGCATCCGCCTCGATTCGTAGAATCTGCCAGGTAATTTCTTTGAAGGTCAGCACCTGGAATAGCAATCATAAAAACAAAGCATCAACAAAACCTTCACTCTGAGAAGTAGTTAATCTCTGAAAAAGACCTTAACGTCTGACTTGAGCAAATCTTTTCTGCAGGTTTAACGTGGTAGAACGTTGTATTCAGGTGGTCACAGCACAGACACAGTACCTCTCCTCTCTTGGGGTCGGTGACGCGGGTGTAGCGGAGGTCACTGCGCTGCCACTTGGGGTTGAGGCTGTTGCCCTGCAGCTGCCAGAGCTCAAAGGAGGCGTGGAAAGCACGAGCCTGGACCTTGATGGTAATGGTGTTGATCCTGACCGACATTCCCTCCACAACTTTCTCAGCAAAACCGTACTCGCTGAAATACACGGCGTATGAAGTTGCACAAGATATGACACAAATTTTTTTGTCTCAGCTCAAGCTTTTTGACGACTTACCTCTGGCCCGCGGTTATAGCAATCGGAGAGGGGCCATTGGGTGGGCGAGGCTCCTCGCAGGTCCTCATCTCGACCTCCACCTTATCCAAGAACTGCGCAAAAGACCCAATACTGAGGCAAAGCTCGGCACACAAATGAGCAAGTGGGAACAAAGATACAGTCTAATATTTACCAATGATAAGAGCAGTAAAAAAAATTACTCATGCAGTGGTAAAATAATCTATGAAATACTGTAACCAACAGGTTAAAGCTAGAGAGGTGGCAGATTTAATTATTTCTGAGTCCTATTAGAAGAGGATATTTAACTCCAGCAGCATCACTCTTACCAGGCAGATGGGGCTTGTTTTCAGCTTTGTCCATTGTATCTGAAAGGACAAAAGAATTCAACAGCATCACTCTCAACCTTCAGAGAGCAGCACCACTGAGCACAGAGGCACCAGAGTAGCACCAGATAAAAACCGCTTCGATTGTGATCACCTGCTCTGGTGTGATTCACTGACGTCATGGCTGCTATGGTGGACGGACAGAGCTCATTTTATTTGTCAACTAAATTAAAAATGTACACACACGTGACCCTCGGCATGAGTTTGTTTTAGACCATAAGCTACAACAAGAAGAACCACATCCTGGAACTAATAAAACCGCTGAGTGTTTTAATTAACAGCTAAAACTATCCAAGAACTGAAGTGCTGCATGAAACAACCGTTAAAGCCTAAAGCGGTGTCTATAACATTAACAGCAAATTATTCATAGTTATTGAGAAGAAGATTGTTGTAAATGTTATTGGAAGAGTTCACAACCCAGTGATATCTGCGGGACTGTTTTCAGAGATTTACTGGAAGTGAAGCATCACAAAAGTTTGCAGACAATAAAAAACCCAGGAGGGATCTGGTCCTGCCTTTCAAACAGTAATTGACACAAACACACACACACACACACACACACACAAACACACACACAACAGAATGAAGCCAAGGCTCAGCATTACCTGAAGAAATGCAAATCACCCGCCAACGTTAATGCCAGAGTTTTAAACAAAGATCTTGCTCCATCTGTAGTTCTCAGAGTATGTGTTGTGGATGACTCTCAGATACCACCACACCAAATACAAGGTCATCGTTGAATATACATTACATCTAACAGTCATCTAAAACACTGGAAGATGTTTACTTCTATTGTCAAGCTAAATTGTATTTAAACCCTTTGGAGGAACTTGCTGGGCCAGTTTGAGGACGGTCAGCGAGTCTGACAGCTCAGTGAGCACCAGCCTCATATCTGAGGATCACTCAGCCTCTGGCCTACAGTGTCCCTCTGAATCACAGTTTGCACGCTCACTTCCTCTACAGGCGCAGAGTAAAAAAATAAAAGCAGCTCTGTGCCACCAGGAAAGGGAATACTTTAGTTCAGTCTGAAAACGAAACAGTGAATTAAAGGATGATGTCTCTTATGTGCACCCGCTCAGTGTTTCCACAACCCAAACCAGGTTCTACAAGTCAGTCATGACATACTCTGATGGCAGCCTTGTTGCAGTAGACCCGGGTGACAGCCAGCCACGTCGGCAGGTCGAGCATGTTTTGCAGAACTTCTTCATCAAGCTCCAGGTTGGACAGCTGCCCTTCACCTTTCAGGGTGCTGAGGTTTATCTTATCTGGGGAAAGATTCTTGGTGAACCTGAAGTGGAAAAAAAAAAAAAAGGATGAAAAAATTATTATTTTTTAAATTTAGAACTAACATCAGCAGTTTTGCGGCGTACAGACCCCCTCCTCCCAGTGTAGTAAAGACATTGTTGAGGAAGTATATCTGAAAGTCATGCTGATAAGCTATTGCTGCCCCTCCCCTGTCGAAAAGGTGCCCTTTTAAGCCCCCGGACTTAGAAGCAGACAATGCACATTGTTGAGCTGAATTCACTGAAAGACTTGTCAAATATTTCAAATATTAAATGTAAGATGTCAGAGAAAATGTAACGTGTTTAAACTGAGCCAACAAGTTCAGCTTGCAGTTTGATCATATTTATTTTAAATGCTTCCAACAAACAGTAATTATTATATGTTCATAGTTTAACACAATTCTTTCTCTTTCAGCTTTTCCCTCTTCAGCGACTCATCCTCCTCCATCTCACTCTGTCCTCACTCCAACTACCTCCATGTCCTCTCTAACTGCATCCATATATCTCCTCTTTGTCTTTTTCCTGGCAGCTGCATTTCCAACATTCTTCTCCCAATATACCCACTGTCCCTCCTCTGGACATGTCCAAACCATCTCAGTCTGGTCTCTCTAACTTTATCTCCCAGTTGTTCAACCTGTGCTGTACCTCTGATGATCTCATTCCTAATCTTATCCATCCTTGTCACTCCTAAGGAGAAACTCAACATCTTCATTTCTGACACTTCCAGTTCTTTCTCTTGTCTTTTTGTCCATGTCTCTGTCTCCAGACCATACAACATAGCTGGTCTCACCACTGTCTTGTAATATTTTACTTTGACCTTTACTGACACCCTTTTGCCGCAAATCACTCCTGAAACTTTTCTCCATCCTGCCTGGACTCTTCTTCACCTCTTTACCACTCTCCATGCTTTCCAAGACAGTTGGCCCATAATTCTTGTAGTCCTGCATCTTTATGGCCTCTGCTCCTCGTAGCCTCACTGTTTTAAAACTATTACTGTGCAATAAATTCCTTTGGAGTGGCAGCTACACATGTGAATAAGTAAATCTGCTGGTGTGCATTAGATCAAATTCACATTAGATCAAAGATTGTCGAGGGGTCATTATTCATACAAAGTAATGCTAGTTGTAGGGATTAGTAAGATTTGGAAACTGCAAATATTCAAGAGTTTAGAGGAGAGAAAGGAGTCGTTGTACAAAAACTTAGCCAAAAGAACAAGATTAGTTTTACCATTTGACAAATGGGACCAAAACAGATTTAAAAGAATTAAAACCACACAACTTTCACACAAATGAGAGGCAAAAAGGAACAGTCTGACAAAAAGCCTCAGACTTGCGATTAACACAAACTGTTGCAGTGAAACACATTTCATCGTGGAGCAGCTGTGGATGAGTCGTTAGAGCAGTCGTCCTCCAATACGAGAGTTTGGGGTTCAATTCCACCAGCAGTCACACTCACATGCCAAAGTGTCCCTGAGCAAGACACTAACCCCTCATTGCCTCTGATGTGTGTCCCATCGGTGTATGAATGTGATAAAGCTCTGATTATTCTCTGTATAGATCTAGTAGAGTGCTGTAGGAATGGGTAAATGAGGACACAGATTGTGTTGTAAAGCACTTTGAGTGTCTTGATAAGACAGAAAGATGCTGTATAAGTACAGTCCATTTATCATTGCTCTCCAACACAATTTATCTACTCAACAACTGGCAGCCATAGGGGGGAAAAAAGCAAATTTGACCTAAACAATAAAAAAATATGATAGATTTGTTTCTCTTGAGTGGCAACTTTACATATAAAGCAAATAAAATAAGGGCAGATGTAGAGAAAAATCTGATTCTGAATGCTTTAATAATTGTTATTAAAACACAGTGAGAAAAATACTGACTGAAATAAGATGTGTATTTTATTACTGCCTGGTCTGACAGCAAACATTAATTATTTCATCCACTTTGTCTGAGATGAAGACTTTGTGCTTCTCATCATGAAGCTCAACCTTAGGTGTGGAGCTAAAAAAAATAAAGGACCTTTACAACCAAATTTGTTAAAACTAAGAGTTATTTAGAAAAATATATACGTGTATAAATATTAAAATGTACTATTGATCAATGAGAATAAAAAAAGGGGGGGATGAAGCTTGAAGTGCGCTTTGTGTCAGGTTTTCTTTCAAGACATTTAGAGCTGAATAAAACGCAGAGGACACAACAAGGAGTTAAAAATAACCAGAGAAACGTCAGAGAAGGTGCTTCTGGAAAGTCTCCCTCCTTTATATGTATCGTGTTTTGTTTACGTGACGTGAATAAGTGACAAACAGCAATTGATGAGGTCGAAGTGTTGAACGAGCTTAAAACCATCAACCAAGAGAGGCTAGCTGGCTAACACCAAACACACTTACCTTGACAAATGTTTCAGGATTTGTTTTTTAATAATCCCCGCCATTTCCGTTCCCAGCCGTGTCGGCGCCTTCCTTTTCTACCGGTATGTCGGTGTACAGTAGCTGGCAGACACATCCCCGGCGGAGTGCATCATGCTAGCAGCTGTGACCTGCTAAAACACCCGACAGCTAAAGCCCCTCATCCCACGCGCGCACCAATGCGCGAAACTCTGGTCGAGCAAGAAAAACAAGCGACTCTGACACAATGCTGCCACCTGCTGGATGTTCTGGGAAGTGTTCTATTTCGAACAAATACCATTGCATGTAAAGATCTTCAACACAACGAGTAATATCAGATTACATTAAAAAAAATAAACAAAGGAATAATGATATATAAATAATAACCACAGACATTGGCTTTGTTGGTGTAAAGTTGCTCCACGTGGAAAACCTAGTAAAGAAACTGAAAGTTAAACTGGGTTTCTTTTTTAGAAACAGATCCTGTCTAACTCTGAACGCTAGGAAACACCTTGTATCTGTGACTTTCCTTCCCTCCATTGATTACGGTGACATTATTTACATGAACGCTCCTACAAGAACCCTGCAGATGTTGGATGCTGTCTATCACGGTGCACTAAGATTCATAACTGGCTGTAACTACAGTACCCACCACTGCACCCTGTATTCACTGGTTAACTGGTCATCATTAACTTCACGCAGACTCTCTCACTGGTACATTTTCATCTTTAAATCACTTGTTGGTCTGCTGCCTTCATACATCTCCTCCTACATGTCTCTGCGTGAGTGCAGCTACGGAGTGCGCTCTCAGGTCATTATTACCTGCAGTGTTCCCTCAGTGCAGACTGAACTAGGCAAAAGGGCCTTCTCCTACTCCGCTCCTGTTTTCTGGAATATCTTACAAAAAGACCTGAAGCTCTCGACCATGACCTCTCTAAGTGGCTTTAAGAATCTGTTGGACTCTTGGCAAAGACCAATGCAGACATCCATCCATCCATTATCTTTTACCTGCTTCTTCCATTTTGGGTCACGGGGGTCGCCGGTGCCCATGTCCAGCAGTCACTGTGCGAGGGACAGGGTACACCTTGGACAGGTTGCAAGTCCATCACAGGGACACATAGAGACAAACAACCACTCACTCTCTCACTCACTCACACCTAGGGACAATTTAAAGTTACCAATCAGCCTAACATGCATGTTTTTGGTCTGTGGGAGGAAACCGGAGTACCAGGAGAAAATCCACGCATACACGGAGAGAACATGCAAACTCCACCCAGAGAGGCCCCCCGGACTGGGATTTGAACCAGGGACCTGCTCGCTGAGACCAGCAGCTCTACCAGTTGCTCCACTGTGCTGCCCCAATGCAGACATGGTCCTGTTTTTAGTTTTCTACATTTGCCTTATATTATATATTCACCTGTTTTTTGCTACTTTTTTGCTATCTTATTTTAATTTGTTAAAAAAATATATATCTGTATTCCTCTTTTATAATTGTCTGTTGTTGTCGCTGTTGTCCATTGTTGTCATCATTCTTTGTTGAAATCAGGTCTCTCTTGTAAATGGGTCCTTGAGGCTGAATGGGATTTACCTGTCTAAATAAAGGTTGAGTGGAAAAAAAAGGTCTTGCAATCTACAAAGTAAACTAAATAAGGCAAAATAAATACATACATTTATAAATAAATGAATAAAATAAAAATAATGTGTACCTTGTAATCTATACAAACACTACTATTTTCTTAACAAATGTGCAAAAATACATTCAAATTCATACACTATTCAAATCAGCCTTTATTTATACAGGTTGGTCTCATTGAGCCTAGAAGACTCATTTACAAGAGAGACCTAAATTTAACAAAAAATGATGACAACAATAGACATTCATAAAAGAAGGCATATAAAATTGAAAAAAAATCTATAAATGCGTCAGGGATTCATTCAAACTTTATTCATACAGGTTAAACTCATTGAGCCTCGGGGACCCATTTACAAGAGAGACCTGATTTTAACAAAGAATGATGACAACAACGACAACAACAGACAGTCACAAAAGAGGCATACAAAATTTAAATTTCTTTTTTTTTTTTTTTTTTTACAAATCTAAACAAAACAGCAACCAAAAGGACAGTCTAAAGGAAAAGTAACAGAAAGAGAAAAAAACAGCTAGATTATAAGGCAGAGTATAAAACTAAAAACAGGAACATGTCTGCATTGGTTTTTGCTACGAGCTTAGCAGATGTTTAAAGCCACTTAGAGGTCAAGGTCGAGAGCTTCAGATCTTTTTGCAAGATATTCCAGGAAACAGAAGCAGAGTAGGAGAAGGTCCTTTTGCCTGGTTCAGCTCGCACTGAGGGAA